GGGGGCGTCGGCGAGCACACATGGCGGGGGCGGATGGAAGGGGTGCGGTGAGGGGGACTTAGGCGACAAGGGGAAGAATAGAGGAGGGGGGTCGAAAACACGCATACAGCCAAGATCGTCCTCGCAGGCAAGCACAGAAGGTTAATTGACATGGTCACCTGTGTGTGGTAGATAGATAGCAGGCTTTAGACTCGAAGCCGAGGTCGGCGCCGTGATAGGGGATCAAACACTACGTCGGTGGCATGGCTGTGGATGTTACCAACCGCAACGCGGTCCTCCGCCTCCTCACGCTTCTTGGTTCTCGGCTCTCGGTCGGTCAAAAACATCCAGCCCCAAGACCAAGCAAAAGACCGAAGCTAGAGAGTAACCGCCGAAACAGAGCTTCCCATCTACCGCCCGGACAAACAACTGCGCTTGTGCGAACGACGACAACACACACTTGGAACACACGGCACGCGCCACCGCCGCCGGCGTGGGAAGTGGCCGGCCCTTGAACTGCTACCGCTAGGGCAACAAGACAACGGCCACGGCACCAGCGAGTCGTCCAAAACGCCCCGGTGACAGCAGTCAGTGTGTCGCCCCTTGAGCGAGCTAGCTCCCAAGATAAAACCCATCAAGGACAACAAAGCCTGACTACAATTGTCACCGCGCCACACCAAACCGCAAGGCGTAAAACAGTGTTCCCCCGTAGATTTCTTCGCCATTGCTTTTGTCGCCCCCGACACGGCAGCGCGTCATCCCGCCTCACCTTGTCAGGAGACCTGCTGCCAACCGCCTCAAACACGGCCGGGAGCCACCACCGGCCGCCTCCCGCCGCGGGCACGCCTCCTCCCCCTCCTCCTCCGCCGCCGCCGCCGCTCCGCTCCGGAGAAGAAGAAGCGGCGTCGAAAACGACCGCAAGCCGTAGGCCAGACCGAGGGAGGGTGACACCATCGCCGGCGCCGCCGTCTTCCGCACCGTCGTCGTTGTCGTTGTCGTTGAGGCTTGCTCCCGAAGGGCCGTCGGCTTTCTCCTCCGGACCGCCGCCGCCGCTGCCGCCGTTCTCAGACACTAGGAGCGACAAGGCCTGTTCGAAGCACAAACAGAAATCCCCCACGGGGTCCCCCCCGACAGAGCGTGTTTTGGGAACGGACGAGGGGCGGGGCATGAGGACATTTGGACGGGGTACTGGGCGAAGACGCGAGATACTCGTCGGTGTACGCGTGTCTCGCACAAAACTCCCGACCCCGAACAGCGGCAGAACGGTTTATTTTTGTAGCAAAAACTAAACTGTTCGGGGCGTTTTGGTTGCACGCGGCCAATGCCACGTGAATCGATCGATCTGAACGTTCACGCTCCCATACAAACACACGACTCGACCCTCTCTCGGCGCGAGCCAACTGCAACATGCGGCGGTTGTTCGTCCGTTCTTCATCCATACCTCCCCCCTCCCTCCCCCCAACCGACGCTCCGTCCTCTCGTGGACGCGTGGTCAATGGCCTTAACAGCTAAGGCATGAAAATCATGATAATACGACCTCCCCTTTTGACCCCGACGCGTGCGGTCAACGGTCCAACAGCTAAGGCATGCAATACGAGTACCCCCCCCCACACATCCACACCTGTTCCAGAGCCCGGAGCCCCTTCCTCGAAGAAGGGTCCACCACAGACACCACGGACACCCCCTTCGCATAATCGCTCGTCCCCGACGGGTGCAGCCAGTCGAGCCCCCTCCCCCCTCCATAGAGCGGGGGCTCCGCAGACTCCCCTCCCTCCTCCGTGTTGATGTTCATGTCCCCGAAGAAGAGCTGGACCGCGGCGGAGGAAGAGAGCTCGGACACCTTCGCGTCGGCGAGGGTTTCCGTGAAGGCGGGGTGAATGCGGGGGTGGACCTTGTCCCCGCTGTGCTTGAGCGCCCTACTGTAAACGTCCTTCGTCCTGATGGGCGACGGGGGGGCCGGGCCGGCACAACCAACGGCAGCGGGGTGAGAGCTTTGGCTGCACGTCTAAGCATTGATTTGTAACTTTCCTTCTCAAGAATCTCAAGAATTTTTTTTTGGGCTGGGAGAATAGGGGTTGTGGGTTGGAACAGTCCGCCAAGAGACATCAGGGTCAACAGCTGCAGCGGCAGCGGGATCACAATTTTTCAATTTATTCGTGTGCGGCTGGCGCCAGGGGGGGGGGGAGGCGGCGAGCGTCGTGAGGCAACAATACCGTGGGGCCGGGGGACGTACGTGACGCAACGAAAAACGACCCAAACTACGACGTCAAAGGAAAAACACACGCGCAAACGAACCCCGTCAACCAGACTCTAATACCCCCCCCCCGATACTTTTCACCCTCAGCAAAAAAGAGATCGGAGGTTAGAGGGGCCAACACTGAGACCCCCCTGTTCGTCTCGACTCGCAGCTGAACCACAAAGAAGCTCTGCCGCCTTTTTTGTCGCCTTCTCCGTCGAGTGACAACATCTGTGGCCCATGTACGCTGCAGAGCTAAGGGGGCGCGTGCTGCAAGAACAAATGGTTGCGCAACCACCCGGCCCTTTCCCATCCTCTCTCTCTCTCTCTCTCTCTCTCTCCCTCTGATTCTCTCCCCCTCTCTCCTTCTCTTCTAGTGGGATGCAACGCCTAGTGCCTTTGTTTTCTTGCTTCGTCCGACTTACTTGTCCGAGACGAGACCCTGTCCTACCAGCTGGCCGATGAGCATGTGTTCTTGCATCACCACCTTTTTTGCCACCACAAGACGACATAAACAGACAGACAGACAGACAAACGGACAGGACATGGCAGATGACCCAAAAACGTATTAAAAATGTCGGACGGAAAACTGACGACTAAAATGGCAGCGAGACATGAAAACAAATACAGAAATCACGACGGTACCAAACCGAGCGAGCACAACAAGCTGTTGCTCGAGTTCTTGCTCACCGGTTGCCGGGAGGCGCGAATCGGTAACGTTTCGAAAACACCAGACACAAAAAATTGGTAGGTGCGATAGACTTTCGCGCAAACGGTGTATATGCTGTGCCCTCAAAAACCTTGGCATCAAAGCAGGTGATGAAGAAAAACCAGCGCAAACCTCTCGCGTAAATGTGCAGAAAAACACAGGCTTACAGTCGTGCGGGGTAGAAAAGGGTTTTCAAGCGGGTTCATCGTCGCACCAAATGAAAAGCGACAGCACCGAATGTTGAAACAAGCCTTGTGATGCACGACCTCAAGGACACCAATCGCTTTCGTTTTCAGAGCGTCCTTAGCGCACAGGTACCCTTTGAGATCGGTCCCCCCCTCTATATCTGTGGGGTATCCTGCTTTTGAGTGTTCTGTTTGTCCTCACAGCGAAGATTTGACTGAATATGAGTGTCCATAAAGCGAAGAGTTGACTTAAGATGAGTGTACATAAAGCGAGCAGTCGACTTAAGATGAGTGTCCATAAAGTGGATAGATGAAAACAAGATGAGCATCCTAAAAGCGGAGAGATGACAAAAAGATGAGTATCCTAGACGCGAAGAGTTGACTTAGCATGAGTGTCCATAAAGCATAGAGCTGACAAAAAGATGACCATCCTTAAAAGCGGGGAGTTGATTCAAGATGGGTGTCCTAAAAGCGGCGACGACTGTAGTGCACCTGCATGATCGACTGTCTCATCTCGCCAAGGCTGCCCATGACGAGGCCGTTGACAGACCACGACTGGATCGACAAACCCTGTCAAAAAAGGAGCAAGTTTCCGGCAGGCGTCTTCTCAGTGGAGATAGTCTTGGACGGACCCAACCCAAGCAAAACATTCAGCACGTGATAAGCCCTCAAAAGTGTTCTCACTGGCGTGAAAACTAGGCTTGAACACATCCCTGCGATTAGGGCATCATTTCCAACAGGACGCACAAAAACAAATATTCCAGGGTTGTGTACACACGACAAGCACGTTGTTTCCACTAGCACGTTCGAAGGCAACCACGTACCAAACTGACGCACGGTCTACATGCGTCTTCAACGTGCTTCAAACACCAGCGACGTTATACGTGCGCGAAAACATCTGCGATTTTGCTGTTTACGAGCATGTCGCTTGCAGACACGGTGAGCGGGCGGGTACAACCGCCGACGATCAATTCTCTCTCGTCGTGAAAAAATACACCTTCTGCTGCAGCGGCAGGCACATCATTCCCTTAACTCCCTTACCGCCTGCTTTATATGCACTTGCCAACAGCAAACACCCCACGGAATTCTTCACGGCTGGTCACATATCATCATCACTAGCGCCACACCTTTCGCGCATGAGTTAGATACTTAGCTCCACGATCGGGCGGTTGATCAGTCCGGGCAGATGGAGGTACACTACTGGGCAGAGTGATCGGAACAGTTTTTTATGTGAAGCCAACAACAACAACAACAACAACAACATGGTCAGGCCGCCCACACGCACATGTGGCGAGAGGACCCACAGAAAAAAAAACAGATGCGCGCACCTTCGACAGACAGAGGCGGGCCATCGCGCGTGCCCCTGGCAGCAGCAGGGGAGGGGACGGTTGTTCCGCGGAGCCCCCTCCTACCCCAGCTCCTCCCCACTGGGCCCCCTTCTTCGTCCACGGCTCCGCGGTCTCCGGAGACTCCGACAGCAGAGGTGTTGCTGCTGCAAGCTGTGTAAAAAATATGCATCAAAGTGAAACACACAAAACGGGGGGCAAGTCGAAATATCGACTTGAAAGAACAGTGAGGGGGAGGGACGGCTTACCCTTGGGGGTGTAAAAAAAAAACAGAGAGCTCTCGATTTCTGACACCGCCACACAGAATCAATTTCCCAAAAATCCAGCGACGAGACAAAAATAGGGGGACGAATAACCATCATCTCAACGCGTCTTTCCTCTCCGGCGAACAGAACGTCCAACAACACTTCGCCATCCCTGGCCTTGCTCCCCCCCCCCAACTACGCGATCCGTGGATAAAGTAAACAGATACACAAATAACCCGAAGAACCACGGCAATTGCACCGCGGAAGCGCCGAATATATTTCCGGCACGCTACCCGCGGGCGGCGCCGTCCCGTCCCGTAGCGAAGAGGTGGCTTGTCGCTAACTCTGCACTCCATGCCTCCCCTGTCGCCTCCCTTTCCTCTGCCGCCTTTCGCCCCGCTGTCCCTTCTGCTGGACAAGTCTCTCGACAAGCAAGCACTCCCCCGGGCCTCACCGTCCGGAAAAAAATCCGCCTGTCGCAAACTTTCTGCTTCCTGTCTCCCCCCCGCCTAAGTCCCAGCCCCCCCCCCCCTCCCCTCCTGGTGTATCCTTGTAAAACGTAGCCTGGGCCGGCGTAAGCCCGGCATATCGCTCCGTCCCGGCATTGTAGGGATGCGAGGTCAACAGCCCAACGACGACAGCATACGTTTACATGTCTAA